TAAGTGTGTAAGTGTTCTTCCATTGTTCTCATTAGGTGATTGAGGAAAGCAATGCGGAAAATCTGCCCAGTTGACGTAAGTTGATTCCTTTGATCATGAGCAAGGGAGGTTATGTGATAGCCATTTTCTCTGGTTGAATCATGGAGCTCCGTCTGCATGTTTCTAGCTTTGCTCTTTTAGCTTTTGTGATCTCTGTGAGTGGATCTGAACAGCGCACTGCTGCGAAAACTGGTCATACACGATCATACAGCTTTATTCACGGTACGTAAATATCTTTCTTGCTCCTCCTATTCTCTGTGTCTACTGGCAACATTAATTCAGGGACTAAGATGGCCGTCACAGAATTGCTCTCTCATAAGAAATCTATCAAAATTAGCCTGTGCCTGGCTTTCAGAGTTCATTTCGAGGGAAGCACTGAGCAAGGAAATAAGGAAGGGCTAAATTTTCTTGGGTGCCCTTGTTCGTCGTTTTAGCTCTGATTGCCTCTGTTTTTCAACAGTTCAATTTTGGTCATGAGAGTGGACAACGAAATTTTTTCAGTTGTCAGTTCAGAATTAGTCCTACTTTTTAGGATCAGGTAGCTGCCAATGCGGTTCGCAGGCAATTTCGCGACATAAGTCATAGCTACATTGCTGTATCAGAGCTATCGCCAGGGCTATAGTGTCGCCAATCGATTTTTTTTCAAGATTTTTATCTCTTACGTGTAGCTGTAAAAAGGTTTAACAACTGTCATGTTTCGTAAACATTCGGTAATAATCGATCGTATGGCCTACTTTTCTCTGCACGTGAAAGCTGAAGCTGTTTGTTTTGTGCGTTTACTTTTTCCTCGTTGAGAATATTGACCGGTAGATTTTATATCAGTACTAGTTCAACCAACCATAAATATGCTTTGAACTTAATGAAATAGTATAACGCTGTTTACTTCAAGTTTGGTTTATAGAAAACCTTACAGCCTAAAATATTTTGCTCATGTCTCTTTCTCTAAAGATTGCAGCTGTGTGTGATAGCTTGTCTAGTTGTTCTGAACGAGGCAATGTCAATTATTGTTTGTCAATATTATGCCATCACGTTATATGCTTCTGGTTATACTCATTGATAGCAATCTTATCAAAGAATGAAGCGCAGCCAGGATGAGACATAATCAAAATTACACACGATAAAAACCCTCGCTGGCTAAAATATGTCAAAAAAGAACACAAGCTTTCGGCTGTCAATCTGCAGCCTTCGACGGAGGAAAAATGGAATGCAAATTGAGAAAGTGCCGATTATAATTGGTGTTATGTAGGCGAAACTAGCCGGTGTTTTGAAACTCGTAAGAAATAACATATCAGGAATGTCAAAGCACATGCTAATGGTCAAACATTGCAAAACATGCGTAGTCATTGGACCATCGCATAGATTTTGATAATTCTAGTGTCATCGACAAAGGCTCTTTTGGCATTAGAAAAACTTTGGAAGCTTGGCACACCTCTGCTACCAAGCATGCTGACAATAATTCTAAGCCGATTCCAAACCAGTATAGTATTCTTTTTAAACAATAGTCACGTAATTTACACATTTTTCCTTCGCTTTTGTTCCTCTTATTATTTTTATCTCGCCTTTTCTTGCATATATTTCATCATTTTGCATCCCAGTGTTTATCTGTCGAAAGCTGCAGACTGACAGCCGAAAGCTCATATTCTTTTCTGACATTTTTTTAGCCAGCGAACGCTTTTATGGTAATTTTGATACCAATCTCATAACCAAAATAGAAATCAATCGCCTTAGTCACGTAAAGCCAAGTAACTCATAACCAGGTCACGCATAGCAGCAGTATACGGATGAATAACGGTCTGATATTGACTCAAGTAACACTAATGCCAGATAAAACGCGGTCATAAGCCGAAGGCATAGGTCGCAGTGTTAGAGAGCTTTTATCCGCCACCCGTTTAGATGAGGGTCTACATGGGGTCCTGAACTAATGCGGGGCTTTATCTGTAGAGAATTGTCAACATTTTAACAGTCAGATAAGAATGACGCGTTTTTAAAAACTGGCAGCTGAGATCTGGTTCCTGCAAAATTTGCTGATAGCTGATAAGTCGCCTAAAATTTATAGGCTCTGTCCACACGAGGCCGGAGGAATTTGAAAACGCAGGTTTCACTCTGAAAACGCATCAAATGTTTTCCGTCCAGACTATGCTGGAGGAATTTAAAAACGGAACATAACAATCACAGTCAACAATCATTTTAGATTTGTGTCTGGGAAAAACCGTCAGGAAAAACACATGATTATCGCGAAGCTATCGTTTTTCGTCCACACGAAAACGAGAAGCCGGAGTTATCAAATTCCTCGGGCTAAAAGAATGTTTCCGAAAAGCTTCGTTTTCATAACGGATTATTGTTGACGGTGGGCGTAACCGCGTGCTGCGTTTTCAAATTTTTACGGTGAAGTGTGGACGATGCCTTAACTCATAACTGTGATTCAAACTTCCCCATCCAGGCCGCACAGATTTGCTTGTGTCGCCTCTTAATTAAAGAAAAAACCTAAGATAGCGTTGCCCTCTTAATAAATTAATAAAGAATAAACGAAAATGGCACTCTCGCTGGCGTTGCTGACATAGCAAGGCAAACCCCGAGAAAAAAATTGGGAGTAGGTTGAAAGGTAAGTCGAGCCCCTGGCGTGGTTCTGCAAATACTTAAGAATTTCCCTAAACTCCATATAAAGAAAAAGAGAACCTTTTCCATAATCTCTTTTCGAAAGTAGAGTCAACAGTTGCAAAATACAATGGCAGTTAGTGATATATACGGGGTTCACATAACTTCAATGCAAAGCGGCTATACATGCAGGCAATCATCGTGCGGACTTTGTTGCATTTTCTGTTTTTATCGTTATCTGTCTTTCAAATTGCTAAATATCGATTAAGTTATAACATCTTTCGGTTAATTACCCAACAACACATCTTTTCTTATCGCAGATGAACCACTTCGATTCGGGTCCCTTAAGCGTGCAGATCCCGACCTCATAGAGGGTGAGTGAACAGATCAACGGTCTATTGTTAATTAGGAATAGTACTACGTATATACGTTCCTATCGACTGAAATGAGAACAGGGGCCCGTTTCCCGAAAGCCCCGGAACATCTTCGGGCCCAAAAAGCCATTTTTAGTAATCTGTATCTAAAACCAGAGAGATGTATACACCTGAAACTTCTTGTATGAAGGGAACCTCTGTTCATTTTAATAATCTGTGAATAAAACAGCCCGTAAAAATAAGGCTTGAGATTTTACTATGGTTTTCTGGTACGAAACCTTTTCTGAACCTTCGCGATCCGGGCTCCTGGTCCGTTTTCATAATCTAGCATCACTAAAAAAGCTGAAACTGGGACTGGGAGCACAGAAGCTGGGACCACAGATGTTAAGCAATATTACAGTTTCTCAAGTTAAATGCGTCTTTCGAACTAGCAATTCAGAAATACTGAAAAAAAAAACACTTCAGCTCATATTTCCTTCAAGTCGTCTCATGAGTAGTAGTAGAATATTACACTGAGAAAAATTTCTTAACTATATATCTTCACCTTCTTTTGCTGAATGTTAACTTCTCAATGCTGTATTACATGCGTACAAAAGAAAAAGACGAGGGATGTGACAGTGATCCGTGTATGTACGGTGGAACATGTATTGACACCAAACGTGGATTCAAGTGTAGCTGTCGACCGGGATTTCGCGGAAAACGCTGTGATTGTGGTGAGTTAAAGGCTATTTGCGATTTTAGTTACAACGTTATTAAATTAAGGGGAAAAACCAAAGCAAATCCTCGTTTGATGAGGACCCAACATTTCGGGTCCTCTATTTAACAATTAGATTATTCGAATTCGCTCTCGATTTCTATGAGGTGATAGTTGATGAGGCCGAAGGCCGAATCAACTATCACCTCATAGAAATCGAGAGCGAGAATTCTTACCAAAATTTATTCCAAATAACGGTTTCCAATTATTTCTTGACGTATTATTAAACTTTGCGCCTGAAAAAGATCGCTCGGATTGAATCGGATTGAAGTTGTGTGTGCGCGCGCATTCGTTTTTCAATAATGTCAACTTTTTTAAAAGTCAAGAAACCCTAAATGTCCTTCGTTTAGACTTCTCAGGAATTTAATGATCCATTTGCATCAAAATTTTCCTTCAAAACTTTGGAAAAACGAAAAAAACGTCGCCATTTCCTAGACGTCGACCTCCAGCCACCGCACACTAATGGCTGATAGTGTTCAATGGCTCAGCCAATCAGACTACAGCATCTGCATTAGTATACTAGTAGAATTCTACTAAGTGTAATTAGAATGAACCGTGAGCAGTCCACAGTCATTACTCCGGAGCAAAAACGTGAGTAGCTTGGGAGAATTCAAACGTCTATGTATATACGCAGGGGAAAGATTACAGCACTTGTTCTGATTGGACAATAAGTTCTTTCAAGTGAAATTGAGTAGTGCCCGCGTGCACTTTATTTTACAGACCTGCTTTAATTTTGTAAATGTTAAAAATGTAAGGCTGATCTATTTTTGGGCGAGCTGATATAATTACTCGAGCACTATGTCCATTTGTTTGGATGAAAACCAAAATCGTAGACCACGGTTGATGCTAAAATTCCAATAACTGTAGAAAATAGGATTTTCTATTTACCTGCTACCCAATTCGATTATTCCCCTTCTCGCCGCCGTTGTTAAGGGACCAGTTGAGGCGCCCAATTGGACTGTTGAGTTGTCCAATCAGACGAAAATTTTTACGAACACCTGAGAAGTGCGGACGAAATTTGCTGCTTGATAAATTTTCTGCTTATGCAATCGTAAACCTTTTCCATGCAAGCAATTATTTTTCTTTTGAATATGAATCCTCGAAGGGTTTGTTAGAACCTCTCCAACAATAAAAAGTTCATTGATTTTCAGTTGTCAAGGAATGTAAAAACGAAAATCCATGTGAGCATAATTCGACCTGTATCGATCTTGGAGAAGACCAGTATGAATGCAAATGCCGTTGCGGTTTTAGAGGGGAACATTGTGAATATGGTGAGTAAAAATATTTTCAGCTTGTCAAAGGACACAGCAAACTGAAGAAACAAACAAGCAAATAGTAAGTTATACGTTAATACTGATGTAGTTATGTAGTTATAAAAAACACCTTATTGAAAGATTTCTCCCAGTTAATTGTAGGGGTTTGTACACGCTGCACACAAATTGTGTCACTTCTCATTGAATGAATCTAACAATAAAATCTGGTGCCATCGAGCACATAGATCACGTTGATATCAGATACTGATAGCCTTCCCCCGAAAACAACCTTAGTATTAACAAGCTGACTTCTTAACATACCCCTCGAATCTAGACATCGATGAATGCGCCAGTGGTTTGGCATGCGATAACGGGGCTACTTGCATCAACACTATTGGAAGTTACAAATGTGAATGCAGACCAGGATTTGAAGGGCGAAGGTGTTGTGATGGTAAGTAGTTTAGACCGAAATGTATGCATGAGAACAGCTGCATAACTGCGTAACAGAAGCTGAAATAGCAGCGAAAAGTAGCAAAGTAAGCAATGAAAAGAAAATATATAATAAGGCAAAGTCACTACTGTCACGTTTGCAATGCACATGGATTGTGGTTTGTTAAAGACGACTTAACTTTCAGACTTTCCTTACAGTATTTGTCTCAATTCTTATTGATTCCGGGTCTATTTCGATCCATTCTTTAAATAATCCTTTTTATTGTTTTAGATATAGACGAGTGTGGTTTCTTACACTACTATCCGTGTGAAAACGGCGGGTCTTGTTACAACACCTATGGTAGCTACAGATGCGCATGTACCATGGGCTTTGTTGGAAAACAGTGTGAACAAGGTAAAGAGTTCGCTTTTTTGTGGTTACGCAACGTATATATATGGTGGTATCGAGGCCCGTATTGCATACATGTAAATATCACCCTTTATGATGTCAGGGTAAAGCAGTAATAACCATCCTTCGAATAATGATGATACAGCTCCTTATTTGAACAATGCTCGGCCCAATCCTTTTTATGATGGTTCCAATTCCAATATTTTTTAATTAAAATCGTCATTCTTTCTTTCGATTTCTAGATTTAGATGAATGTTCTTACAATCCCTGTAAGAATGGCGCCACATGCATCAACACTAAAGGAAGCTATCGATGCTCATGCACAGACGCCTACGAGGGAAAGCGTTGCGACCAAGGTAATACACTAAAATTGTCAAGGCAGTTCATTAAGTTGACCTTCAGCGACGAGGAGAGTGCAACCGGCATGGTTCGAGACTAGTTAAGACTCGCTGTAGAGTATGTTGAAGCGTGGTGGCTAGTGGGTTGGAATCTGGATCGAGCTGTTCTGGTTCGAGCCCTTACGGCCGGGGTCATTGTGTTAGGCAAGAACGTTTGCTCTTGCAGTGCCTCTCTCCACTCAGAGGGGAGGGGGGGAGGGCATAACCCTGCGAAGGACTAGCATTCCATCAAGGGGGGAGTAAAAATACTCCTAGTGGATTAATGATTCAAAAAGTGGGTTTATCTCCAGCTGTATATATGGACCATTGGATTTCAACCATTCTGCTGTAAAGTTTAGGCAAACATGGCTTCAATATAAAGTTCAAGCTAGGATGTACGAGTCAAAACAAACGGACAGCAATTCAAACTTTGACTTTACCCCATGTGCAATGCCTAGTGGCCCAGAGTAGGAAATGATCCTGTGCAATTCATTTTCAACGCGAGTTATGCGCTGAAATTAGGCTGTAAAGTCGGGCAGCTTGATTTGTTATCTGGGAATAGTTGAAAAGTTGTATAGTTGCGTTTAGAGCATTGATGAAGACGGGTTATGACAGTGATAGAGAAAAAATGCGTTGCTGGCGACAGCAACTTCAACTACGCAGCGTACATCCTATAACGAAGAAATAGCAATGCTTGTCAATAGCTTCGAACCACAAAAACCGAGAGAAAGCTTCATAAGGTAACAGCAATGATAAGCCATTAGTCTCCGAAACAATTTTCTTCTCCATAGATGCAGATGAATGTGTCAAAAACAACCCATGTCAGAATGGAGCAACGTGTACCAACTTACCTGGAGATTATCAGTGTTCTTGTCCAAATGGCTTTGAAGGGAAAAACTGCGACGAAGGTAACTCACAAATCACGTGGTTTATCTTAGATATCCATCTAGGTTGATTTACCTATTACTCTTACCACCTTGCTGATAGAGGACGAATCAAATTCAGATAGAAAGAGTATAAGATCTTTGCAGTTAAATATCATCTACTAAGGTAATTACATTTTAGGATAATTTAATTGAATTTAGTTTCCAGGGGGAGAATGTCCGAATTGATCAATGGAAAAGATAAATTCGACTTTTAAAATCTTTCGGACTTATTTTCAGCTTCCTGAGTATTCTTGTGTCGGTCTGTAATTGGGAATCTTTTCTCGTATTTCCAGATATCAACGAATGTCATTCCAGCCCCTGTCTGAATGGTGGTACCTGCATGAACTTAATAGGCACATTTCAATGTCTCTGCGGATACAATTCCACTGGAGCACTTTGCGACCAAAGTAAGTTGACCTCTTTATAAATACTGCAAACACCAGTACATGGGGGCTTTCCATTCGATAAAAATTCAGCTTCGCATTTCCGGACAATTCCATGCAATGGCGAATAGAGCAGCATTTTCTAGAATTTCCGCAAAAGAGGAAAACACCGCAGGGTATACCCAAATGTTTGAAAATTTCTTACCGTGAATATCCGTTCCAGTTTTGCTGCCGGAAAATCCTGTATTGTTCGGTTGAACGGTTCGCTATTCAGGAATTCCACAACTTTTGTATTTTGCGGTTGTTTTGAGAGATCTTTTATTTCGAAAGTTGCGGAATTTTGGGTACAATATAAATGGAAAGCGCCCCATGACGACTGTGATGTAAACAAAGGCAATGTTTATATGTAAATCACCATTTAAGAAGACCTAGGGTTGAGTAAGTTTAAATGTTTACCATATTATTGGTATTTTAGGGTTGGCGACACTCTTAATGTTAATGATATTAGTAATGTTGTCAACAATCCATTCTTCAAGCGATGCCAAATAAAATGGCAGAGATAAAATAAGACAACTTTTCGCACTGGTTCCTTTGGAACGCAAAATTACGGCGGTATGGCATTGCCAATTAATTATCCAATGCACTGTTGGCAACTGCTCATTTTACCAATTATGCAGCATGTACATCGCCTCTTGGCATGGAGAGTGGCTTTATCAAAGATGTACAAATCACCGCCTCTTCACAATTCGATGGCAATCATGCCGCAATCCAGGCAAGGTTAAACTTTCAGGCAGGTGGAGGTAGAGCAGGAGGATGGTCATCTCGAACAAATAATGTCAAACAATGGATTCAAGTCGATCTTGCTAGTTACACAAAAGTATCACAAATAGTAACACAAGGAAGAAACGCATTTAACCAGTGGGTAACCAAATACAAGCTGCAGTACAGCGATGATGGAGTCAACTTTCACTTCTACAAATTACCAGGTCACGATTCTCCTAAGGTACTGTATAAAACATTTGTTAATCTCATTATTTTCTATTTTATTCACAACATAGTTAA